ACCAGAGGGCTGTTCAGTGATGGCCTGTGTAAAAACCCTTATTGCACAGAGATGCACACACCTCGTGAATATCTACAGAAATAGAAATGTCTAAAGAAAATAATGTTTCTGTGGTTCGGGTGGAGGGTAGGGCTTTATGGCGTTATCAGACTTCTAATAGATTAGACGTCAGTTAATCAGGAAGACATTGCCAGAGATATCAAATAATTGATCGGTTATACGTGATCAGTTTGTGAAGCGGTGATTCTATGAGGAGGTCTCCCTCCCTTGAGTAAACTCTAATCTGTAAGATTTGCCTGTAAGGTTGTTTTTAAGAGATTCTGTGTTTTAAATTAAGGTTCCACAACGATGTGTGACAGGTACCTTTGTGGAATAATGTGTACAGTTTGTTAAATCACCAGTATTTCTTTACTTTTAACGTCTACTGGCTGTAATCGATTAACGTTAAACAGGTTAATGATCGCCACATCTGACAACTGAGATCTTAAACTGTTGACAACAAGCCATGAAGGAAACTTTAAACTCCAATCAATTTTATCTCGACGAACTGATAAGGAAGAGAGTCTGACGGTGTTACAAAGACCGCGTTATTAAGATTTGACAGTCTCGGTGCGATCCCTTTACTTCCTTCCTAATAGATACCTGTNCGATGCATTTTGTGAAACACAGCAAGGATGTGGGATTAAACGTTCAGATATGTTTCTCTTTCGAAAATTATAGCTATTCTGAGTTGTCGTATATTTTTGAAGATAGTAATATTTTCTAATATAAGATTTGAAGCTACCTGGTGCCTTATATAATCCATATTGAGTCAATTATTACTAAATTATTTGAAATAGCTAGGTGTTACCAGATATGATAAGGAGATCTACTAAAGGCTTAAGTCATATTTGCCAAGGACAAAGACAACGTGAGACTAATGTTAGGAATATTTGTGCTGCAGGGGAGGATCGAATTTTTTTTAGAAAGGGTTTCGTGCACGTGCTTGAAGCCTCTCTCCATCGTCAGACATTTTTGTTCCCGGAGGCAGAGTAATTTCCAAACAGTATGACATGTATTAAAAAGCAACAAAAATCAGATAGGAGGAACCAAACTGTATATTATTTTTCTCTGTATTACTAGCCCGTCGTTATGTAGAATAAAAGGACAAAGAGAAAATTAAAGTAATGAATTATCAAATAAGGAAGGATTAAAATTCAGCGTAATTTTTGTGTTGAAAATCAACCGCTGTGTTCCTTTTGTTGTATTATGCATAAAGAACAAATTAGATAATAACTAAGTACAGTTAGCAAATACCATGCTGACATATAGGCAGGTCACAGACGTCGATTCTTCATTGATTAGTTTATTGTACTGCTGAGGAAAAGAAAAAAAAACGCTGTCGTGTATTGGTAATAATAGCAGAAGTGACATGCGATGGCAGTGACTAAGGAGATTGATTTCCGTCAAAAATATTTATCTGCACGACATCTAATCTAAAGAACAACTAAGATGTTTTCTGAATACAGAGGATAAAGTTAATCTTATATAAGAGTGAAAATTTCGTTTTGATTTATCCTCATTATTCTAGGGCTTAATTTCACATTCTTTTGCCTTTATATGGGACTCTGTTTATAAAGTCCAGGAAAGCTTCTTTCTAAAGTGCTGCTTAGAGATCGGCAAGCCAGTGGATAAAAATGATACACACTTAATTATTTACTATATGGCTCTGCAGTTTTACAACTCCTGGTCTGATCCAATATGATTTTACTTTTTCAGGGTCTGTAAGCGTATTTGTACAGCCACAAAGCGTTTCCTTTTTTAACAAGAAAAGTAAACACCAAAAGTATGAATTGACTTCCCAGTGCTTGATTGTCTAAAATATTAAAGTGCCAAGATAGAAAGCGGGCACCGACTGCTATTTACTAATTCAGTCTTTTAATCAAACATACCATTATCATCATCATAATTATTTTTACTATCATTATTGTAAATCTTTTTTTTTTCAATTTTTAATTGTGTGGTATAAGCCAGAAAGATTCGTTCTGTCCCTTCTGTATTGATAGAGTAATGCACCACGCCCGTTTCCAGTGCGTTATTTACCGTCTGAGTCCCAACACCGTTAGCCACAGGTTTGATTGTCTTGGGGTGGGGGTGAGGGTGAGGGTGGGTGGGATAGGCTTTCTACAAAAATGAGCTGTGTGTTTGTGCCGATTTGTGAACCTTTTTACTTCAGTTTTTTCCCTTAATGCCCGCCAACAAAAATTCTGTTTGTTGACTGTTATGTAAATGTAATGTGCGCACATCCATAACATGCAGATTGGAAAATCTTCTGGATCCAAAGACACACCCCACTGGCTACGTGCATTCAATGTGAGTGACAGCCAATCGAAAGAAACAAGTTTTCCACATATTTGTGACTCAGTGCTTGTTCAACCTTAATCCGATCAAGAATTTCCCCGCCTTGGATAAGCTCGGCACCCAGTCCCACCCATGGCAAGCGCTGTGACGTCTGAGGTTGGGGTGGGTTTACGGATGACCTCCCAACACTAGACAGACGCTTAAACCGTCAGTTTTATATGTCAGCGTTTTTTTCTGCCCCTCCACTCTCTCTCTCTCTCTCTCTCTCTCTCTCTCTCTCTCATAGCAATGCCTATGTTGAAATGTCTTTGCTAAAGCGAGTCACAGAAGGAATTGGGCAGCGAAGTCGTCAAAGCATCAGACCTCTCTCTCTCTCTCTCTCTCTCTCTCTCTCTCTCTCTCTCTCTCTCTCATAGCAATGCCTATGAATTGGGCAGCGACGTCGTCAAAGCATCAGATCTCTCTCTCTCTCTCTCTCTCTCTCCCTCATAATGAGCATGATGTGATTATATTGTACCAGTTTCTGTCAGATTGATTCACCAGTACTTTTATTTGCAGTTCGTGCTGGGTGAGTCACACACACGCCCATATATCATAACACATATGACAAATTATGGCAACGGTAAATTCTGTAGTCAGGCTTTTTGCCGGCGTTGCGTAATCTTTCTAAAAGCATCGAAAGTGCACAATCGATTTTTGCGGTCGCTTTCCTGACAATGCCGAGCCTATTGAGTCGATTATGTCGCCAACGTTTTTAACAGAATAGCTCTTCTATATCAGGGAAACGGAGTGGACCCACGGTCGTGACATTCTATTTGTATATCACCTTGAAGATTGTGTACACAGCAGGGAATATGAAATGATGTGACGTTTATTATATAGATCTAATCCCCTCCTTGACCCATATTTGTCTTTAACATCAGTGTGTGCCGAGTTTGATCACATGTGTAGGAGTGCATTCCCATAGATTAAGATCGATCCATCTAGTTCACGCCAAATTGCTGTAAGCCGAGCGCGGACGGTGGTTAATTACATGTACCCCTTTACAGCTTTTAGTGGGCGGGACAGACATTTAAGCCGGCTAAGCTGACAGTAATGTAGTGAGACTCCCCACAAGGATAGATCGATCTCAAATCTGTGGGAATGGGCTCTAGAACTACACGTAGATGAATCTCTTGTCACAACCAAATTCAAAGGTTGTTCTCTTCACTATTATCAGAACATTGTTATCACGGTTTTATCATTATTATTATTATTATTATTATTATTATTATTATTATTATTATTATTAAGATCTATGCCCACCTCTATAAACTGGGGCATACATTACTTCATTCAGAGTTCTCGTCAGTTACTAGCCTATTAAGCATACTGGTGAAACCAATAGCTGAGCTGTTCCCTTTGACGCTTTGTCAAACGCCATATTATTTTCATACACACCAATTTGACCCAATTGCCACAGAATCATGGCAGCCATTTTGGATCACGTTGAAGTACCAGTAGGACGTCAGGGGATTGCTGAAAACAGTGGCGGAAATGGATACCATACATCACGTTGACAACTATTACTTGATTAAAATATCGACACTTTGCATACGGACGCTGAAGCATGCTTCGTATAGTGTGCAGAATTTGGTCTACCAATAAAAATAACAATTCTGAAACGGATATTTGACGCCTTTACCCTCCACCAGATGGCGGTTCAGTGACGGCCTGTGTGAATATCCTTATTGCACAGAAATGCACACAGCTTGTGAATATCTACAGAAATAGAAATGTCTAAAGAAAATAATGTTTCTGTGGTTCGGGTGGAGGGTAGGGCTTTATGGCGTTATCTGACTTCTAATAGATTAGACGTCAGTTAACCAGGAAGCCATTCCCAGCGATATCAAATAATTGATCGGTTATACGTGATCAGTTTGTGATGCGGTGATTCTATGAGGAGGTCTCCCTCCCTTGAGTAAACTCTAATCTGTAAGATTTGCCTGTAAGGTTGTTTTTAAGAGATTCTGTGTTTTAAATTAAGGTTACACAACGATGTATAACAGGTACATTTTTTGGAACAAAGTGTTCAGTTTGCTAATTCAACAGTATTTCTTTACCTTTAACGTCTACTGGCTGTAATTGATTTACGTTAAACAGGTTAATGATCGCCACATCTGACAATTGAAATCTTAAACTGTTGACAACAAGCCATGAAGGAAACTTTAAACTCCAACCAATTTTGTCACGACCATTTGATAAGGACGAAAGTCTGACACTGTTACAAAGACCGCGTTATTAAGATTTGACAGTCTCGGTAGGATGCCTTTACTTCCTTCCTATATATACCTATGTGCGCGATGAAGCTCCAAGAGCAAAATGTAAAAATTTTGCCTCCTAACCTAGCAAACAAGTTAAAAGGCATTCTTAGCCTGCTGTCAACACGTGATTCTCTGTGATTCTTAAAATAAAAAAAGCAACGAAATTTATTACCCATAAATTTATGATAAAATATCCGTGACTTTCGCATGGTGCACCAGCTTAGACAAAGCTAAATATTCTAACTACCCCTGTTTTGCAATATGACAAAGGCAGTTAGTTTTCATTGTAACAAAATTTAATTTTCGTTTTTATGAATGTGGAGGAACTTGGATATATATGTTTTCTTTTCTTTGCAGACTGAATCAAAATGGGTCTAGGTTGCGGAGCCAAGTGCGCAAAATACATATTATTTGTCTTCAATATAATCTTTTTCGTAAGTATAGCATGACAAAGCCTGTTGTATAGTTGGTCATTAGATTATCGGTGTGTGTGTGTGTGTGTGTGTGTGTGTGTGTGTGTTTTCAGTGTTTCGGTGTTCGGCTATTTTCAGCGTGGAACATGACAGAGTTTTTCAAAAATTAATTTCAAAATGTATTAAGGGATTTATTTGACGAGTAGTTTGGTGAACATGTTACCAATTTCTCCATTTCTATTATCTTTTTTCGCATGTTTAAGTTTTTGTTAAAACACCAAAAACATCAAAAAGCACATGTTAACATTAATTAAGCTGTAATGATATCGATTTTAAAGAACGTACAATGATTTCCCTCTTATCGATTTTAGCTCTTGGGAGGGGCCTGTCTTGGGGTTGGAATCTGGGTCTTGTTGGACTCGAACGCCAGCAACTGGATCGACAAGCTTCTTAATATCAACTCCGATGTGGCGGGCATTACGAGCTCCTTCGATGTCGCTGGACTGCTGAAGACAGGAGCGTATATGCTGATCGCCGGCGGTGGAGCAGTCTTCGTCATCGGCTTCCTCGGTTGCTGTGGAGCTGTAAAAGAGTGGCGCCCCCTCTTGGTTTTGGTGAGTGCCACGTGATGGACAAAAGCAGAGTCGATTTTTGTAAAATATACCCCTTAAATGGTGCAGGGAGGACAAAAAAAGAGTATTTATATATTTAATCTGGAGGGGTAAATGTGTCAAAACAATATACCTTGAATTACTTTTATTACTAAGAATATATCTGTGTTGATAAATTAAATGATTGCCTTGATTGTTAATATTTTTATTATAATTATCACTCAAAATTTTTTTTTAATTAAAATGAGCATTTCGCATGCGACATATATAGTGAAATTGAAAGCTCGTCAACTCTATCTTATGCAAGCGATATTACAAAACAGGATGTTCGTATAATTGATAAAATTTCTCTTCCAGTACGCCATTCTCATTGGAATCATCTTCATCATTGAGATAACAGGCGGTGTGTTGGCCGTGGTCTTTAACGGACGGGTGAGACTTAAAACATATGCACGCACACACATGCAATCTTAAAAGGCCTCATCGTGCGTGCGATTTTTCCCATATTCTCTTCCTTTCATCCAGTTACGGTTAAAAACAAATGTTATAATAACTTNTGTGCGCGATGAAGCTCCAAGAGCAAAATGTAAAAATTTTGCCTCCTAACCTAGCAAACAAGTTAAAAGGCATTCTTAGCCTGCTGTCAACACGTGATTCTCTGTGATTCTTAAAATAAAAAAAGCAACGAAATTTATTACCCATAAATTTATGATAAAATATCCGTGACTTTCGCATGGTGCACCAGCTTAGACAAAGCTAAATATTCTAACTACCCCTGTTTTGCAATATGACAAAGGCAGTTAGTTTTCATTGTAACAAAATTTAATTTTCGTTTTTATGAATGTGGAGGAACTTGGATATATATGTTTTCTTTTCTTTGCAGACTGAATCAAAATGGGTCTAGGTTGCGGAGCCAAGTGCGCAAAATACATATTATTTGTCTTCAATATAATCTTTTTCGTAAGTATAGCATGACAAAGCCTGTTGTATAGTTGGTCATTAGATATCGGTGTGTGTGTGTGTGTGTGTGTGTGTGTGTGTGTTTTCAGTGTTTCGGTGTTCGGCTATTTTCAGCGTGGAACATGACAGAGTTTTTCAAAAATTAATTTCAAAATGTATTAAGGGATTTATTTGACGAGTAGTTTGGTGAACATGTTACCAATTTCTCCATTTCTATTATCTTTTTTCGCATGTTTAAGTTTTTGTTAAAACACCAAAAACATCAAAAAGCACATGTTAACATTAATTAAGCTGTAATGATATCGATTTTAAAGAACGTACAATGATTTCCCTCTTATCGATTTTAGCTCTTGGGAGGGGCCTGTCTTGGGGTTGGAATCTGGGTCTTGTTGGACTCGAACGCCAGCAACTGGATCGACAAGCTTCTTAATGTCAACTCCGATGTGGCGGGCATTACGAGCTCCTTCGATGTCGCTGGACTGCTGAAGACAGGAGCGTATATGCTGATCGCCGGCGGTGGAGCAGTCTTCGTCATCGGCTTCCTCGGTTGCTGTGGAGCTGTAAAAGAGTGGCGCCCCCTCTTGGTTTTGGTGAGTGCCACGTGATGGACAAAAGCAGAGTCGATTTTTGTAAAATATACCCCTTAAATGGTGCAGGGAGGACAAAAAAAGAGTATTTATATATTTAATCTGGAGGGGTAAATGTGTCAAAACAATATACCTTGAATTACTTTTATTACTAAGAATATATCTGTGTTGATAAATTAAATGATTGCCTTGATTGTTAATATTTTTATTATAATTATCACTCAAAATTTTTTTTAATTAAAATGAGCATTTCGCATGCGACATATATAGTGAAATTGAAAGCTCGTCAACTCTATCTTATGCAAGCGATATTACAAAACAGGATGTTCGTATAATTGATAAAATTTCTCTTCCAGTACGCCATTCTCATTGGAATCATCTTCATCATTGAGATAACAGGCGGTGTGTTGGCCGTGGTCTTTAACGGACGGGTGAGACTTAAAACATATGCACGCACACACATGCAATCTTAAAAGGCCTCATCGTGCGTGCGATTTTTCCCATATTCTCTTCCTTTCATCCAGTTACGGTTAAAAACAAATGTTATAATAACTTTTACCTAGGACTCAATATATTTCCCTGACACTGTAAAGTGATATTTAAACAGATATAATTGTATCTCACTAATGCATTTATTTTTTTGTAAGGCTATCACAAATGTGCCTGCACTTTTTACCAAATCTGCTACTTTTTACCCAGATACGGTTAAAAACTAATGCAATCATTATTTTAACTAACATGGTAAAATGAGTTTTAAATTAATATATCACAGTACTGATGCAGTAAGTTGTGTTATGACAACTTGTGTTATGACAAAATGCTGTATAATATAAGCTGATAAGTGCTTCTATGGGAGGCTGCAGTCTGGGTCTGCATTTCTGCACAGCTGGGACACTATTTATCTTATTTTATGATTCAGTATTGAAAATGTCAATAGTTTTAAATAAATATAATATCACAGTACTAAATGCAGTACGAATTGTGTTATAACATGTTAACATATCCCCACCCCCCACCCCCCCAGGTCCAGACAGAGGTGAAGACCTACCTGACCGGCACCATTAAGGACAAATTTGACGGCAAACTGAACACATCTGAACCCATCTCTCTGGCCTGGAACTACGCCATGGGAGAGGTGAGTCAACATACGGGCACTTCATACGGGCTCTTCCCCTGCTCTCGCAAAGTCTCGATTCAGCTGAGATTTGTATGATTTGTGTTTTATTCTCGGTTCACTGGAGGATTGATGGATGCTCTCTCTCTCTCTCTCTCTCTTTATGGCGTAACATACCGGGTACATGTACCTTCTTGGTTGCATATTGAATATTATTGTTGACTTCTTCGTTTTAATTGTAAATCGTAATGAATGTGTGTTACATGTAGATAAATGAACAGGGTGAAGTGAATATAATGCAGTGGACGAAAGTGACGAGAATTACATGTAATTGTATGCCTAAATTATTTTTTGTGGAGTAAAAATATTTTGTCCCTGTTGAAGGCGTCTACGTACATAAAACATATTCATGCAGCGAAGTCCCTAAAATTGAAATTACTAGGGTATAAACCCGAGTTACATGTACAGATACGGTTCCTTACTGCTCCATGTACTGAGGATGTATTTATTTGAATGATGTTCTAACAGAATGTCATTGATATTGCAGTTGCAATGTTGTGGTGTCACTAATGGCAGCGACTTCAACAACGCCAGCGCCTGGGACAAAACTGTCACTTACAATGGAGCCTCGGTCACTGGTAACGTTTTCTTCCCCTTAATTTCTCTCTCTCTCTCTCTCTCTCTCTCTCTCACACACACACACACACACACACACACACACACACACACAAACACTGAATCTCGTATACAGGAAAGCCAGGGCATGATGGGATCGCCTTTCATTAGCCCCGCATGTGCAATACCTGCAGTCATATATACCCACACCCACTTGCTGTGCCTTACAAAGAGTAAATACAGATTCATGTGTGTTTTATAAGTCACAAATATTTCAGTAGCAGCTAGTGCAACACGTGCTCTAGTGCTACACGTACGATTTTAAATTAGGTCTCGCACTTCGTAAGGATGCATTTGTTTGTTTAAAAAGTTCCATACCCAAATAACTGTTTAAAATGGTCCACAGCCACAACTGCCATACCAATTCAAGGTTACGTTTAAGTCTCCTGATGTTTCTCGTCCACAGTCACCTATCCGCTGTCTTGCTGCAAGTTGACGGATTCTGGGAAAACGAAGTACAAGAACGGTCAAATCGGCAGTCTTTCTAACTCCGACTACGTGGACATAGCTAACTGCGTCAATAGCCCATCCACAACCAACGCTAACATCGACATTGTAAGTATAAGTATGCTACCTGCTTTGAAACCTCGCAGCTTCTCGATTCCTCTCGCGAAATGTGTAGATCTCGCGTGAGAAGACGGGAGCTTTTGGGATGTATTGGTAGACTTCGCTGGGTGAATTTGATATTGTATCTTTTAGAAGATTTGTTTCTGAATGACATGTTCCTAAAGGATAGAGATAATTATTGCACTCAGAGGAAAATGCTCTAAGAAAAATAAAGCCCTCAATTTAAAGTTAGTAACAATATACTTGTGATATCTGCTGATTTGTGATTTATAATTTAAAAACTCTCATTGCCTTTTGATTCCAACAGTTATTGTGAAACAACTTGACAACCAGAACAGAATATATAGCACTGTAGGCTTTTCTTATCGTAACATATACTAATTATCCTGCCTGTGTTCCAGGGCTGTTACGACAAAGTAAAGGACTTGGTGATGTCGTATAGCAGCATCGTTCTCGGGATCGGCATTGGCATCGCTGTCGTGCAGGTAAATATTTCAGTCCCTTTGTCACCACCACCTCATCCTTGTCAGCCATCTTTGTGGTAGCTAGAACACGGCTCATTAGTGTACTGGTCTAGTGCACTGAACTATTGCAAGGGTGCAGTAGTCAGTTTGACCGCCCGTGTAGCGGGACAGTGGCTCATCTACGGTACGGCATATAACACTGTAGCAGGCCCGGTGTAACGTGACAGAGAGTCCACCATGATAGAGTCCGTTTCCCATTCATTTGTACAGGCAAGCCTCGCCCTAGATTTTGATCCACTTAGGTCAGGCTAACCCTAACCATTATAATAGAATGGAGGGCGGACTTTTTATTACAAGGACTTTCATTTTCGTTACACCGGCAAGCATGTGGATTTATTTGAGTACACGTTTCCCTTTGGGAACATCTAGGCGCAACAGTTGAAAGCCGCGTCCAGGTGTTGTAGTTGACACGTGCCATACCTGCCGTAGCCTAGATATGACGCTGCCCTCAGCGCTGTCTGAGTGAGGTGTGTGTGTGCGTGTGTAAGTGTGAGTGTGAATGTGTGTGTATGTGTGTGTGTGCGTGTGTGTAAGTGTGAGTGCGTGTCCATGTGTGCGTGTCTGTGTGTGCATGCGTGTGTGTATGTATGAATGTGTGTGTGTGTGTGTGTGTGTGTGTGTGTGAATGTGTGTGTATGTGTGTGTGTGTGTGTGTGAGAGGGCAAGTAGAAAAGAGGGTCGGGGCACTTTGAGTGTGTTAGGTGGGACAACATGGCGGCTGGGCGCAACTAACCGCTTGGTAGATTTTTTTCACTGCTGGGAGTCTTTGTGCAGTAGCTGAATTCAGAAATGGCCATTTAACATATTGCTAACAGTGTTTTGCTTAGAAGTTTTTAACCTATCATTCACTTCTATTTATCCAGACCCAGAAGGTTCCAAAAATAAGATAATTTTCCCGGTCTTAAAAAAAACTTGATTGAAACAAGGCAAGGGTTTATTCCTTACAAACGCCCTTGATCTTTTTAATTGCTTCTATCAAACACGACGCAATTTGACCACTTTTTTTCGCAAAATACGCAAATAAGAGAAGAAAGGACCTGAAGCCTTTTGGTATAATCTTTTAAAGGCAAAATAGAAGGTCCTGAGGGCTAATTTCCCACGTCTGAAAATGGCGTCTTGATCATTACATTTAGCTGTACTTTCTGTTTCTTGCCTTACAGCTGCTGGGCATCATATTTGCATGCTGCCTTTGTCGCTCCATCACGAAGAACTTGAACGAAGTCGTTTAGACCCCGAACAACTTCTAGCAGCTTTTTTCTTGTAAGCTAGAACCTGTTTCTCATTAGATGTGGATAGTTGGCTGTATGATACTTGTTACTGCGTGCATTTCTGATACCGCGCGCTTGATAAGAGTACTCCCACGCTTAATGAGGAGATTAATTTCAAAAATCCTGTTTTGTTTCTTTGTTGTGATTTCATTGGAAATGACCTTATTCTTTATCAGTTCTAAACAAATGTTCCTGTAACTCCTCCCTGTGCTTTGGTTTACTCCTCTACATATTGCTTATAGTCATTTGTGTATCATCAGGTATAGTCATTCAAAATGCCATTAGTATAGCAGTTTTAGTACCCCTTCTTCTAAACAGAGTATAACAAGCAAATCGTTTCCTCTCTTATACCCTGCACATCATAATGTAATTGTCATAGTCTGTTACATCATAATTGTTTTCCATTCTGATTTTATTTAATTTTATTACATATTTCATTATGGGAATCTTCATTCCCCACTTAACAAAATTTCGGTTCTGTTTCACTTAGACCTCATCCACCCCCAACCCAAATAATAATAAATCAAAATTATGCTGCATACAGACTAATCTCTACAAGCTGCTTTCAACCGCACTGCACCCTGTCCATTTCCTGTTTAGTCTTTATTTTACCTAGAATCTAGAACTAACGTCAATTCCCCAAGTAAACATAACTGGACATGGTAGAAGGAGTTTTTAATGTTATTTTAACCAAATAAAAATTTCACTTACTTATTTATTTGTTTGTTTGTGTTTATGTTTTAATTGCTGTACTACTATGTAATCCTGATGGATCGTAACCTCCAAGTCTTACGTAACTATCTCACTGACTTATAAACCGGCATCCTCAGAATTAACGTATGAGTTATTCTAAAGCTAACAGCTGTAACACGGGTATCGTAACACGTTATGTTGAATGTTGTCTCCCTCCTGTCTTTTGTTGTTTTACACTGCCCTCTATTGTTCGTTTCAGTTACTCGGTATCATTTTCGCATGCTGCCTGTGTCGGGCCATTGGAAAAGAGGAGGACTAATCACATCCCGTTTGCACGAGACTTTATTTTAACTATATCTGATCACGTTTCTTCGAGATATCTGGATAATAGCCTTACTAGCCTAACTAGAACTATTTAGAACAGAGATCATCCCTAATATATATTATGTATCATTTATTTATTTATTTACGATGAATGCTTTTTTTTTTTACTAAGTGCCTTATTTCGATAACAAAGCTTTCAGCAATGTTAATAAGCCGTGTAACTTGTACTGGTCATTGTTGTATTTCTTTGAAATGTGCCCAGTCTCACGTAGTTTTTTAAATTCAAGTTTATTTTTTATTTGACGGTTTTTGAAGAGATATATAAGTCTATATATCACACATATTGTGACACGTATACGCAGGGGTATGTCTCAGCCGTGTCACTTCACAGTGCTGTAAATACCAGTACTGAGAAATGTTGCCAATTGTACCCAAGGCAGTATTTCATTACCTCATTTATAGTTTTAAATTGAGCCTTGGTTGATTTGTGCGAAATTAGATAATTTTATCAGATGTCAAAGATTAGCTCCAGCTTCTCCGTTTTAATGCTGCACACGTGGATATATTCAGATAAAAAGGAATGTTATTTACATATTCATCAAGATGGTGAAATACATTTTGCATGTATTTTGAGTTGATGAGTGCTGTGTGCAGCTTGTTATGATGTATGGCATCAAAGAATAGCTTCAACGGGCTAATTTTTTCAAGTCCTATATTATAAAAGCGACAAATCTTTGATATCTTCTGCTTTCTTTATAGCTCCTGGGCATCATATTCGCTTGCTGTCTGTGCAAAGCTATTGGAGACGAAAAGGACGACGATTAAGGATTAAGGAGCGAGGAATGTGATGCCTGTATATGTAACGCTACAATATAGTATTTTTTCATGAATTTCAATATTGCCATGCAACTAGAGTGGAATTATCTGTAACTTGGGGCACGGTTGCTGTGATGAAAAACTTAGCATATATTATAATATAATATTATAATCAGACTTAATGGGACGTTGACCTAAATCTCTATGTAGAGTGTACATTTTCTTTTACTTTTTTTTATATTATTATTATTATTTTTACAACTTTTACCAGGGGAAGATTTCACTCAACAAAAAGCGCTTTAACAATGGTGACATTTTGGGGAAAAAAATCCACCATTGTTCTTTAGTTTTCCGAGATTTAGGGCAGCTTTCAAAGATAAAACTCTTAAAATTTCTTTTTAGCTTCTAAAACTGTTAGCATTGTCTATTTTAAAAGTTTACTTGATCGTTGTAGCCTGTACATAGTCAAGCCTCAAATTATTTTTATTGATGAATTGTATATCTATCAAATTTATGTATATGCCCATTTCGTTGAATTCGTAATGATGACATTTTGTCCAATACATACGTCACATTCCAACTGATGTCACTGTGATAGTCATATAGAACATATTTTTGTGTACAGTTATTTTTCATACGTTGTAAACTACGGGTATACGATATACCCATGCCTTATAAATATTTGCACTTCTGCTATGGTACAATTTACAGACTTTATGACACAATGTTCCGTTACGATGCCTTGCCTCCAAATGTCAGAGAAGTGATTTGAAGTTAATAAATGTGCAGTGGCTGATCAAAATAAATAAATGAATAAATAAATAAATAAATAAATAAAGGGGTGAGGTGGTCCAGTTGGAAAGAGCAATGGACTTTTCAAAAACAGTAAACATTCCTATTTTGCAATATTGGAAAAAATATTGAACTATCTGTTAAGAAAATTCAGCTGTTTGCCTTCTAAGCCTATGATCACATGATTATTAGGTATAATTGATCTGCTACTGCACGTTGTGAATATCTAACTTTCAATTTCATCACAATTTTTACACAGAGGTTCAGATTTATTGTATTGGAAATTTCTGATATGAAATTGGCTTCTTGAAAATCGGCGACTTCAACAGACACGGCAATGACGACTTGTTGTGACGTCATTTGAGGATTTGGCGCCAGTTACACAACCACGTGTGATTCTGCACTTTGTGACGTAACAACGTTTTCATTGTGACAGCATGATACGAAATAGATTGTTTTTACGTCATAATCAAGGTTTTCCTCAGGGAACCGTCCAGCCGTCATTTGGACGGCCATAAGCCTCAGAGGACGACCTATACATGTATGTCCAAAGGCGGCTGGACGGTTTTCAAAAACTTTAGATTCATTAGTTGGGCTTGCTTGGGGTGGACACCCTGTTGACCAAATTGCAGCTTCACATTTTGGACTCCCTGTACCACAAATTCCGGGGAAGCCCCTGCTTATAATCCTTCACCAACCATTTGTAGCTGGCGCCAAATCTTGACATGGCTCTGGACAGCCTGATGTTGTGTTCTGTCAAGTGCGTTGACACACTAAAGTCCCTCCCTCGCTCTGTGTCTCATTAAGCTGGATATAATATTCTGACAATCTGTTATCATTTGCAGTTGTTGCGTAATATGATTTTAATGTTCTTATTTTACATGGAAGAAAATTTGTTATTTTATCATTATTAGAAAATGTATGCGCATGTGTTATCAAAACTATGTATACGTAAACGGAAATAAACAAAACCAGACTTACCTCTGTAACTCGAGTTTGTTATTGTTTTTCTTGATCATAAATTTTCATATTGTCAAATATGGACACATCTCTATTAAGGAGATCTAAAGAGGCTTTAGAAAAGCTATAAGCTTATTTGATTTTGCTGACATGAAATATCTGCAAAGAATGATATGTAGTAATAAAGGCGTGGATAAAAGCAAGAAAAAAGTCGTTTTAGCATTGCATTAAAAGCGCAAAATATGCATTACACCTTTAAACACCCAAACATTAATTGTCATGGACATTTCCTTTCATAAATAATGTAAAGACATAATATTATCCAAAACCGTTCACAAAATTACGATCCATAAGCCAGACAGTTGATATTTGTCATTTATTCTTTCCTGGTTCTGCATTCGTAATTATAACGATCATTATTATTTCAACGTTTAACACCACTTTTTTTTTCTTCTGATAAAAACTTCTTGCCAGATCTTCCGCCCCGTGGCTGCGGTAGAGGAGAAGAACACACTCCAGCTGTCTACACGGTGGCAGGGGTTAGGTAATCCTCGCATCGATTCCTCTTCGATCGGTGTACTTATCCACACAAAGCAAATATTAGTTGTCTTACTTAGTGTCTTAAAGGCTCTCTATTGTCCCGGGTAAGGAATCAATACGTGGTTATATGTAGGACGACGCGGTGCAGAAGGGAACGTGTGTGTGTGTTAACTTGGACGAGTGCGTTTCCCGGTCATGGTAAGTGTTTGACTTAACATTACGCCTCTCTCTCTCTCTCTCTCTCTCTCTCTCTCACACACACACACACACACACACACACACACGCACATTCACACACACGCAAACAAACACACAAGATATCTAAAACTTTGTCTACAACATACAGGCGCATTTTACTTGAACTTATAATACTAACAATGCAAGCAGCGTAATTGCCCAGCATCAAGCTTTTGTTGGGCCTGTGGCATAGCACGTAAGTTTTATCTGAGAGTTTTGGATAATTATCCCCGTTCTAACAGAAAAAATACTATATTGAAATTGATAATATAAAGCTATCAGCAACAATTGCACAAAGCCTTAATCCATTACCGAGAAGATAAAATCAATAGTACAGTACGGTATGTACAATTTTTCCCTTTGGGGATTGTCAACGTTGACATATATTAGGATGAACTTAGATCAACTAGGAACGCTGTTAGGGCGACTTTATTGAACAAATTCAAGTCCTAAAACTACCGCTGCAGGAGACGGTGGCCGGATTGCACTTCCCCCGTATGACGTCATTATCCTGACATTCATAGAGCGGTTTCACTTAAGAATTTTAGATAGAAAATTGGTCGAAACTAAAAATTTGTCTGCTTTGGTTTAAGATAGATAACAATCTACTCAAATACATTTAAATTAAATAGTTAAACAATAATTAGACTATTGATCAGAAACATTGACCGTATACGGGAATATTTCCAGTTATAAAAACAATATCTCATTCAACTGAATTGACATCGGTTTCAATTTGTCCAGAGTAGGCTAAAAATATGGTCTCCAGGTAGACATTGAGCTATTTTTTTTCTTTTTATCGTTATTTGTATTTTTTATTTATTCATTTATGAAAGAGGGGACTTGTGTGAAGTCATCAACACAAAAGGTGGCGATGGAATGTGCTTAACTGGAGAATTGCAATCAAACGCCTACTTCCGGGTCCTAAAACCGCAACAACTTCATGAAGGCAGACTTAGTTTGCTTTGTCGTTTTGAATAAAATTCGGCTATTTTTTTCCATTTGGACCAGAATATGGAAAGATAAGTGTGTGAATAAATGTAAATAGGACTGCTTGGAAATTGACTTGGGATGTGTCTGTGGTTACAAAGGCACCTGTGTTGTCGTTAAGATGATTGCAAGATCACATTACACACAGTCAGTGTGACACTAATGGCTGCACTCTACTAGATTGAATTCCTGACTACAATACATTTTCAGCTTTATAGAATTCGATTCTCAACAGCACACAGCACACGGGGAGGTTAGTTAGAGAAAGGTGTAGGAAGACCAGGTCGAGTGGGACAGCTAGTGGACGCTAAGGAGAAGAGACAAACGTGGAAGGCAAGTATATACAAGTGCCCTCTACCAGGACCAGAGATTGTTTTTTCTCTAGATATTCACAGCTTTCTGGTTACATTAATGATTATTTTCCATACTTCGATCAGAGAAAATAGTCACATGATAAAAATGCGGCCTGGCAGATGGTAATATACAATGCGAGTACAAGAACGTGGTGGACACACTTGACTTTTGGGTTCAGCTTATTACATGTAACTAAAGACATCTTTATGAAGGGAACTGACAGAGTCAGTCGGTGTTGGTGTGCATGTGCGTGTATGCAAGAATGTGCGTGCATGTGTGTGTGCATTTGCGCAAGTGTCTCTGCGTTTGTGTCTGTGAGCAAATGTACATGTATATGTACAAATGTTTATATTTGTGTGCGCACGTCAGGACTCATGAGCGCGTGTCTATGTGAGCGTATGTGTGTTTGCGGGTATTGTATGTGAGCGCGAGTGTATCGTGGCTTGTCTCTGACAAGTGATATTCTTCTTTAATTTTGTGTGTATGTGTGGGTACCCTTCAGCTTGAACTTCAGTTGAAAATGACAATCTATCTAGCTAGAGACATATCTGTGAATATCCGTAAAAATCTATCAGTCGCCCTGGTAGAGGGTAATGTGTGGGCTTGTGTGTGTGACTACGGGTTTGGTTTAGTGTGTTTGTGCATGTGTTCAAACATATCTGTACATGTACATTGGGTGTCTGTTTAGTTCTGAAAAAGTATATATTTCCAGATGTATGTATGTATCACTGTACTAGATATGAGCTTTGAAATACCTCCTAAGGCTGTCTAGGCTGCCCACCGGTCACGTGACCTGGAGGAATTACTGGTCTGATTCAGAGTTAATTTCTCCAAACACGAAATTCATAGATAATGGAAAATAATCAATAAGATTTCTATTTGTCTGATGGAACAAATGGTGTTATACAACATCAGTTATAATAATCGTGCCAGCACATAATCTACCTGTGCCTGTACCGTCATTTGCCTCGGATCTACGACTGAAGACCGAGCAGTGTTTTTTAAAATGCATCATTTTATCCTGAATTGACATCAGCGTCCTTAACATTCCCCGACAGTGTCTTCAAAGAAAGACGCGCCAAAATCAATCAAGAGTATTGAGCTCTATAATTGCTGTGCATGAGGGATTGCTAATCTTCGTGAGGACGGACAGGTGGCACTGATTTCCCGGAACCTAACAATTGTCCCACTGATTGTTTCCGAATTGCTTTGAAACGATCCAGAGCGAAAAAATACCGACTTTTTTGTTTGAAAAGAAAACAAATTATCAAATACAGGCACATGCATGCGTTTTAGCCACAGCGTTTTCTTTAAAACAAGTCTTCTTCATTATTTCAAAGATAAAAATTCCTGACAGCTTTCTAACTTGTAGTTGTTTCTCTTGCATTTTGCATTAGGTCTAGCTATCTCCGAGGCTGCATATTCTGACAGGCAAGCACGTGTTGAAAGTAGGTCAAGTCAATAAAACCTTGATATCAAATATAGACCAATAATACAGATACACTTGCTGTACGGCCACACAAACAAACAAGCACAGTTTGTGTGCACAATGCTTGCTGTGGAGTAGACCGAGAGACAAGGCTCCGAGCCAAAAGCACACTAGACATTTCTAAACATGCAAGAGGTTAGAATAACCCAGTGAAATGCCGGGCTGTTGTTGAAGTGTGAACCACGCAGACTTTGTAAAAGCGCAGGTCTTGTTCTGGTCGGGTTTATGTGCAGTGCGGTTTAACGTACGGCAGGAGTTCTACGTGATCGTCTTAGACTGTTCACTTACAAGGTATGGAAAGGTCAGTGTTTGTACCTGTGGGTCGGTGTTGCTGTGTGTGTGTGTGTGTGCGTGCGTGCGTGAGAGAGAGAGAGAGAGAGAGAGAGAGAGAGAGAGAAGAAGAAGAAGAAGAAGAAGTACAGAGGGGGGAAAGGGGGAAAAAGAGAGGACGTAATTGTCAATGTGTGTGTGATAAAGATCAGGTGAGAGAGGGGATAAAGAAAGAGAGAGCTACAGGACGTGTGTGTATGTAGGGGGGGGTTGGGGTGGAGAGAGAGAGAGAGAGAGAGAGAGAGAGAGAGAGAGGGTGCTTAGCGTTGAGTACTATACATCAGAGTACATGTATATCATACACCCGTACACACAGGGCATAAATATATCAATTGTTGCCACACACATGTACGCGTGACTTACGCACAGCTTTAAGGTATATACAAGTACATATAATCTTCAACCCTGGGGGAAGAGGCCTGAAGGGGCCTTGTTCCTTTGTTTGACCTGTACTTTGTGTAGCGTAAAGATATCGCATCTTTTATACCGACACGTGAACCGAACTGGCCATTTTTATTTACAGCTTCAAACGTGAGAGAGAGACACAGTGCATACATCGTGATACTAACTCTACTGAATACATAGACTTTACAGTACCAACATGGAGTTAAAGATGGCAGTGGTGCAATGTGCGATTTCAACCAGCTGAGGGTTAGAATATCAGCACTGACATAATATACAGGTGTTTAACTCCAGTCAGAGAAGACCTTTAACACTTCACAGGTGAGTAGTTGCCGAGAATGTCAGTACACTACCCTGAGGTTCAGAGTTCCAGGGTTTTGGAAAAAAGAAAGGCACAAGGGGGAGGGGGCAGGGATTACTGACAGAGGGTAAAGTGACTAACATTCTGGCAGCAGCTATCGGTATGAGGATATACCCCGGTACATGTACCGCTGTTAACACCCGGGGAATACCGTACCTGCTTCTGCTGATCACCCGGTATCTCAGAGATTGAGATATATATACGTCAGGTGTCTTAACTTAATAGAGATTACTTTCCAATGAGCTCTGGCTCACATGGTTACTTCAGCTGAAATAAAATTTGAACACGAAGTATACGGTAGCTACAAGTCTGCATATTTAAGGTGCATTTCCACGTGAAAGTGCGTCAGAAACAAAACCTAAACTTTGGTATGGCTAGGTAGGAAAAATAAGGTATACGGTATTCTTTTGTGGTTAGGGGGATGCTTGAATTTACAGGACAATTAGATTTTTACTGTATTAAGATCAATTACTTATCGTTTTCCTATGACATTAAGAAAAATCATATACCTCACATAAATGAAATAATATCGATTGGGTCCTAAAATTAGGATCGATTGTTCTTCCCAAGATATGTCGACATTTTTGTGCCCGAGGAATGGTTCTCTCTATTTCATATCAATATTTTTTTATTTCTAGGTTACAAGATGTGGCGGGCTGGGGTGACCTGCATAAAGTACGTCCTCCTGATATTGACTGTATTGATATGTGTAAGTATGGACGTTATCTCTTATCTGTGAAGCTCATACTCAGGCAACTATATAAATAAACAGTTTTTTTTTAAATTTTCTCTTATCAACTTTAGTGCTTTATTCTAGAGGCCAACTGAGTGATGAAATTGATTCCAGGCCAAAATCCCTGTTAAAAACGGTTACAAATTAGCCAGAGGCTTATCTGTGAATATCCAGTGAAAATCAATCCGTTGGCTTAGTATAATATAGTTTTATAGTATGATGAAGGCGTTAAAAGATAAAAATGATGTTATTAGCATGGTTTTTGGCATACAGATCAAATGTACAAATGGAAGTCCGTTATTTTAATTACGAACGTGCATTGAACTTTGGATTTATCAACAATGATTCATGAAGAACAAATAAATTTAGTACAACGGTTGATGATCAAAAAGATAAATAAAAAAACAAGACAAAGTACACAAGATGTAAGTCTTTTTGTAGATTTGAGCTCCAGCTTTAATTTGTGTTTTTTTTTTTATTTGAACCAAATAAATGACATTTTCGTAATTATTATTTGTACATTTCAGTTGCTGGGAGCGGCTCTTCTTGGTTCTGGGTTGTGGCTCCTCCTAGACAAGAATGCAAATCATGGAGTTGATCGTCTGCTTAGATTGAACGCTGACATCCAGGGGGAAACCAGCGCATTCAACGTGGGGGGTCTGCTGAAAAGCGGTGCTTATGTCGTAATCGGGACGGGCGGTGTCATATTTGTTATTGGTTTCTTTGGATGTTGTGGAATTATCAAATCTTCGAAGGTGTTATTGAAAGTGGTAAGTCTTAACTTTTTATCGCCTTGGTTCAGTGTAATTTCAGCTTTTTAGATATTCCCATGATACAACCGAAAACCAACTTCATATTCCCAAATTTATCTTTACTCTTGAGATATATATATATATATGTACATGTATATACTGTGTGTGTGTATATATATATATATATTTTTTATTATTATTATTATTATTATTATTATTATTATTATTATTATTATTTTGCGTCTATGACGCGTGATTTCTGATTACTATTTTAAAGCAATTCACTATTTATGAGTTCCAAAACAGGAGGTTAAAGTTTTTGCTGCTAATTACAGATTTTAAACTAATAGTAAACGCACACCGCAAAAAAGACATTATTTGTCACTTCCATTAGATTTGGCATTCTGTCGGCCCAGTAGGATCTTAGAAAGGCTTCATTATAATGGTGAATAGCAGAGATCAAAAGCTCTTTTGTCACAATTCATGATTGTTTTACTCACAAGAGGCCGTATCCTTGTCTCATTGAGACTGAACAGGGGCGGATCCAGAGATATTTTCTGAGAGTCTTCCAAATTATCTTTGTTGATCCATCCACCATTTTTGACGGTCTTCCGACAGAAGAAATTAGATACCCGTCAATGTAAACTAGAAAATCTGACCGTCTTCCGGAAGACCCAGAAGACCGCCTAAATCCGCCCCTGACTGAAGAAGATGACCGATATGACACGTTAAAATATCTCTCTTGAGTATAAAGTTGTTGATCCAGGAGCTATCTTCCTTTATTTACCTTTTATTTGCCTCTCATCAGGCATCAAATCGATCAGATTGCACTACAAATTATATGTCACACAGGACATAAGCAGTACTGACATTTGCCTGTAAGTGACAGGTATAAACAAAAAGACTTGTTTTTTATATTTGATGAGAAAAAAATGTTGATGTTTTTTCCCCTTCAGTTTGCCGTGCTGATGGCCATCATATTACTGGCTGGTATAGCAGGCGCCATACTTGTAGTTATATTCCAGAACAAGGTAAGTGAAATAGTGGATTATTATTATTATTATTATTATTATTATTATTATTATTATAATTAAATGAATCTCTCCAGCTCTTAGATGTTCTTTTGGAACTTTTTTTCTGTGTCAGCTGCCTCCTGTAGCTTAGACACACAACACTTTTCGCAATATGTGAGCAGTTTCAAGTATGACCGACAATTGTGCACTTCCAACAATGTCAGGCATGTCTTACTTCTCGATCCAGATTTTTTTAGTTCTTCGGGATTGTTCCAAGTGCCCCAATCAAAATTGGTATTGCTATTACTATTATTATTATTATTATTATTATTATTATTATTATTTAACTTTGAGATTGCGTACTTAGGCAATCGATTAATTAATGTGTTACTTAATGAAGACTAACCAGGTAGTTTCTATTCTTCCAGGTGGAGGTAGCAATTCGTAACTACTTAAATACCACCATAGTGGACCAGTACGAGGGACGGCTCAATACGTCACAGCCGGCGTCTCTCGCTTGGGACGCAGTCATGATGGGGGTGAGTAGCGAGTGTGTTAGGTGTTCGTACATTGTGTTGGGTGAGACAGAAATGCGTTCGCTGCCACAAACTTTGCTCTGGGTTAGACAGAAGTATTGGTTAGTAGAGCACACCAATGGCGGGTTTGGTCAGGGGGGTCATGATCCCCCCTTCGGTTTCTGAAAAAAAACACTAATTAATATAACGGTCCCCTCTTGAGATTAGAATGTTGACTAGCTGAATCAAAGTTCTAAACCGTACTAAATGGCACCATTCGCCCTCTAAATTACCTTACCTTCAGCAGGCCCCGAACCCCATTCCAAGAGAGGGGGGGGCTAAGGTTGATTTTGCATCCGCAGACACCCCCCCCCCCCTTCAAATAGTCCTGAATCGGCCCCTGCACACATTGTGTTAAATGCGTAAGCTACTGTATCCGGCAGACTTTATGTTATGATGATGCCACAGAGGGCATTACCTGTATGATTCTTTTTTTCGCTGTTCTCTGTGACGTAATATTGTCACCGTTTTTTTTTAAAGCGTTCTTCTGATTGAGGGCAGTTCAGAATAATGAAAAGTTAACAGAAACTCTAATTACCCCTGATATAATTGTATAAAGATTTTTGAAATTCCTGTAGACATGATGATGACACCTATATTTTTTCTGACCAGTGAAAAGATGCAGGAGTTCCAAAATATTCACATATCAAGGGAATGAGTTGAAAATATTATATGTACGTATTTTGTATTTAGAAAAACGTATATTGTTGTATATTGTCGTTTGTCGTATATTGTCATTTGTAACTTAAAGGTTTATCCTATTTTCAGATGCGGTGCTGCGGCATTGATGGCGGCGACGACTTCAGATATGCCACCAGATGGGATCACACTATAGTGGACACTGGGAAAGTAGTCCCAGGTGAGTCCCCCCCCCCTCTCTCTCTCTCTCCCCTCCCCCCTCTGTCTCTCCCCTCCCTCTTTCTCTCTCTCCGTCTCTCCCCTCCCTATCTCTTCCTCTCTCTCTCTCTCTCGTTAAGCCGACTTCTTTCCCCCCACTCTTTACCTCACGCTCCGTGTGTAATGTAAAATGCGCATTTCATATTGGTCTATGTAAGAAAACATTATCATCCCGATTTTATCATTGTTATGATCATAATTTTGGAATTTAAAGTTGGTTGTTATAATACTAATGTTAAATGTTAAATATAGTTATAATCCAGTCAGAGAAATAAATATACACATTTTCAATAACCTCGTTAAAATTTGGTTTTTTAAATTTGGTTAATAAATGTACAAAATTATTGAAAAAGTTCATATCTCTTATACAAAGTTCCTTATCATTTTTTTTTTCTTTTACAGCGACAGTGCCGCGATTTTGCTGTGAGATGACGGCGGAAGGGAAGGAAAAGTTCCAACTGGGGAAGATGACGTCAATAGATGACAACGACTACGTGGACCTATACGGTTGTGCCACGTCACCAAATGACGTCAACTCTAATATACAGACGGTACGAATAGTTATCCATGTTTTACTGTCACTGTGAACAGAATAACTTTTTACTGTTATGTGTGCTTGTATGTCTAACAAATAAATACTCGTCCTTTTAAATTTCTTTTTTCTCATATTAATTTCTCACGCTGTTATTTGTAGACAGAGAATAGATAAATGAATACACGAACAAATAAAAAACTGGGATGAAGATACGGAGTGAAAATGTATGAAGAAAAATGAAAAAGCAAGTAATGGTTACATGTATATTGGATCCTGTATTACTATATATTCGGAAGCCATCATATCTTCTCTTTATCAGGGGTGTTACAATGCAGTGAAGCAAGTCATAGAAAACCATCTCGGGTTAGTGATAGGGATCGGGGTAGGAATCGCCCTGTTGGAGGTAAGTGATAAAAAACGCATTGGGTTAGTGATATGGGTCGGGATAAGAATGACCTGATTAAAAAATAAGGGACGGTATATGTCTCTGTGTGCTCTGGTGTGGTGTGCTGACGTCATTTACTTTAGCACTGCTGCGGTGACGTCATTTGATGTTTCGGGTCGAAGTGAGTACTTATGTGAGCAAGACTAAATACTCCAGTGCGAAGTGAACAGCAACATATTCTATTCGGGAGTGGATTCAAAGATATTTTCTGACAGTCTTCCAGATTATGTTTGTTAATCCATCCTCTATTTTTGACCGTCTTCCGACAGAATAATTAGATACCCGTCAATGTAAACTTGAAAATCTGGGGAGACCCAGAAGATGGCCTCAATCCGCCCCTGCTATTGTTAGACTTGAAAATCCTATGTTCTTCCACTTCGAAAAATAAAAGGAATAATATTGAGATTTTTGATATTTGAAACATTTGCAATTTTTTCTTCTCTTTGCTAATGATCAAACCAATCATTTTTCCATTTTGAGTTAAAGTTTACCATATTTGTAGGCCTACCCCAAGGTAACTTCTTTCACCTGAAAATGCTCCTCTGTTATATTTTCAGCTGTTGATCATAATATTTTCCTGCTGGTTATCTTGCTGTTACAACAAGGAGGACGAGGACGATTACAGATACGAGAAACCCATGTCTACCATGGAAGAGGAGACGGCGAATATTTAACATAGAACATGGAGGCAAGTCACGTGATCACAAGACACGTGATCAATGTCAATTCAAAGTGATCCCAAAGGCTGGTGATGATACGAGAATTGACCTCCTGGTTTTCCAGAAACGAGAAAGGTTTTTGAATGAATATTCGAAACCTGTATACTACCACGAGGCCACCTTGGAATGGGGGATTATAAATCCCTAAGGAGAGGCGGCTTTTAAATCAGCTTTTCACAGTGAAAAGTTTATACTGGTACTTCAGTGTCTTCAGAGGAGTCGTTAAGGGCTCAATGATTGAAAGGAGCTTTGCATAAGGTAGTGTCGTCACGATTAAAATAGGAGTGTAAAATCACTATGTACATAAAACCACAAAGGAAGACATATCACAAATTGACGAAAGGAAAAGCTACATATCACGTCGTTTTATTCTGAACATATATCGCAACAGAAGACGTTCGTTAGCAAGACTGTTGAATGCAAGAAGCGACCCACTGGTATTTGTATTATAACTATGATAAATAAGTGAACGATGATACGACATATTTTTTACAAGGATGAAGCCTTTCGGTCATTTCCTGGACGTCTTTTGACTGAGTTGTGAGATCGTTACCCTTGCCAATTCGAACAGATAAAGTCACATTCGGGGTCCCCTACCAGAGGGGTGATCATTACAGATATTACATGATGGAGTCACGTGATCTATGGCGTGGATGCAGGTTTCCTCAGTTTAAGACCAAGAATGGATTACACGAACCCAGTAGCGGGAACATTGTACTGACACACATGTACAGTTAGGATTTTAGCTGTTGGATCATTAAAAAACAAACACAACAAGACATTTCAAAATATGTCTGTATTAAATACCGTACATACTGAAGTTTATTTATTTTCAAGTAAAATGTCACATATGTAATATTGAGGATCCCCTCTTATATATAGTTTCACAGGCAGGTTCTTGCGTAGCATATACACAGGCGACAGTATGTATTGTATAGTTATGCACGAGTGAGCGTGGCGGTGTTCGTGTGTGCGTTTTATTTATTAATTTTTTTATATACAGTAGAAGCATTCAAACTGTGATGCTCTAGAAAAACACTTGCTAGAACAAGGAGTTGAAGTGGCATGTATGTGTTTTTATCATTATTTTACTCATGAAAAGAAAATGAACCCGCGAGATGCGTCATTTATTTTCGATAATAGCTCTTAATTTAATTGTGTTTGGATGTCTGCGTCACAGTATACTAATGAGAAATAAATCACAAAAAATTTCTTCGTCATATCACGTCATATTTGCTTTCACAAATAATGTCATGTAAAATAATAAAAATAATAGTTAAACATTATTTCGCAGTATATCAGGGTTTTATTATTTATAATAATTACTCAGAATGTGTCCATGTTGACAAACGTCCCATCTTCTCACTGCGTACAAATGAGCAGCAGACGACACCTACATCTGCGAGCGCATCTTTCACAGTTTTCCCATTCGCGCCAACTTGGCCATGAGCTGCTCCAGGCAGTGTTCAATGGCGCCGCTGCGGGAACTTTTCGTGGCGGATTCGCTAATTTGAGTGCAATCAGTGCACTGAGCTCTCCACTTCCACTTCCAGCCGCTCACTCTACCATGGACGCTGTAGTTGACTCTGCACCCAGGTTTCCGCTCAATCTAAAGACAATGGGATTTTTTTTTTTTCAGTCGAAATGAAAATAATCTCCTTCCAGATTTCACTAAGCCTTTTCCGTGTATAAAAACTAACGGCATGAGCTGTGTTTTTTGCAAGTTAAATTGAAATTATTAATGGAATGCCGTTCTGTTATTGTTACTATCCGTATACCAAAATTACGCATGCTGTTCCGCTCTTCTTTTGGACACGAGCGAAAATGTCAAAAATATATTTGAGCGCAATCTGTGAGATCATAGATTATTCTGTTTGAAAAGCTCAATAATCCAGAAATTATCGAGTTGGTATGCCATGCAAATCATAGATGTATTATACCTTTTGTTATTAAAATAACAACGGCGCCTCTATGTACTATAACTATACCAGAAGTCTTATAGGAATAGCTCAACACTTGGAACTTGCATCTTTAGTTGTTATTCTAGCAAAAGGCATAATTAAATACGTGTCAATTGTTTTTATTACTATTATTATCATTTTGCTTCCAAATTTGTGAGAAACAACTGAACAGATTCAGATGCAGTACACTTTGCTTCGAATCTGAATCCAAGCTACATCTATGCGATTGGTATACATGCGCTAGTCAGAAATGAGAAAATGTGAGTAGCGTAGACGATTACGTAGGTAAATGCTACATCCGCAAACTTGTAACCCACTTCTGTGAAGCATATGGTACATTTGTAGTTCACTTAAAGATAGTAAAATCATTTTAGTTAAGCAGCCTGCAAGTTTGCCAATGGAATCACTTTTGCCTGCCATGCCCAGGTGTAAACGCACGCTATTTTTCGCCATAGCTGTTTTTGTACAACACAGACAAAAATAAACTCAAATTTCTCAAAAAAAAAAATAAATAAATAATAATAATAAAATAAAAAATAAAAAAAACTTATAACTAAGTGATGTGGAAAACGCCTCGTCAGAAACTATTTAATTTGTTAACTCTCTCTCTCTCTCTCTCTCTCTCAGTATAACTCATGCAGTAACTTACCGATCCACTCAAGGCATCACAGGCACACACTAGAGCTGGAAGAAGAAAAAGACTCAAATTCACTCAGTGTTGAACAATTGATAACTAAAATCACTCACATGCAGAAACATAAATTAATCACGCAGTTAAAAACAAAATGAATAAATGTCAGAACTTACCCAGCAGCAAAAGAACTGCAATGCAAGCACTTGTCAGTCTACCTCCCATGTCTGTAATGGCTGTTGTGTTCTCTTGTGTTCGGAATTGAGAGCAGCCGTTGTTTTTATACAGCACGACGGTCGTTCCCATCTGACATGCGAGGTCAACAGGTCAATTTAGTGATGTACAGCAACTAGGGCAGTCTGAATCAACTACAAGGTTTTTGCTGTTTTGATTGGTATACAAGTCAAGCTCTTTAATTGCACATGCTGTGTAAGTGATTTTGGCTTTGCTGTAATCATTTCAATTTATTAGTACATATCAAGTACGGCTGTTTTCAATTTATGAATCAGCGGGAACCCGGGTTCTGGGAAGATTATTGTGGTGTTCCCCTTTTTATGAACCCGGATTTCAGGTCGGAGAGCGCTTTGAGAGAGCAAAAACATGAAGAGTTGTTTAGGACTTTTATATGTAGCCTACTGGGTAAAAATATGGCCCAGATTTTTAAAATAAACTTTCTAAAAATATAGTAGGTCTTAAAGCTTGCGAATGGTATTTTTACTACTGGAAATTTTTCAACGTATATAGAAATAAGTACTGTCGTCGGAAATGTAACAGAGTTTTTTCTCATTGAACCGGTCACACAAATGAAAATGAATTTCTGTAAACTATAAGTTGGCGTGCATTTTATAAGAAAATGTATCAGCGTTCTATAGCAGGTCAGGGCTTAGTAAAAAATTGCAAAATTTTGAAGGAAATTGGAAATGAAATTTGAAAATCCTCCTCAGCAAAAGCAGTCGGACAAGTCGCCCCAGGGGATAGTGCTTTCCTATACAAATCGGTTACTGAGTGTACTATTAAAAAAAGCAGAGGGGCGCAGTAAAAGCATCTGGTTCCCTTACTCCCGAGGTCCTAGGATTGAAGCCTAGCTAGCTTCTGTCCAAGTTAACTTTTCCTGTCTTCTAAGACATATGGTTAACCCATTTCCTTTATCAAGCGAAGGTGAAAAATCCTAGTTCTCGAATTTCAGGACATGTTTTCAGACATCACCAGCTTTTGCCAATCCTATTTAATGTGACGAATGAATTATTCCACGAAAAATATACTTCAAGATTAGTGTAAAAACTGTGTATCCTGGAGGAGGCTTGTACAGAGGGAGTTTCGACCGTTTCTTTTCAATTTGCACTACATAAAACCACTATAATATTTTAATTGTGATTTGAATTGAAGAGAAATTATATTGAATTTTACTGTTTGTGTATATACAGTTATCATACACACACCTAGAAAAAAGTTTCAGTTTAAAAATTTAAAATGCATTGTGCAGTAATGGACACCCCCTTAAATCTCCTCATAGGGAAAATATTTAAGAGCAGCTTCAATTCTTATCTGTGGTAGAGTGAGTGTCTGGAAGTGGCGAGAGCAGTACGCTGAAATCCCGCCTTAACCTTGACGCTGTAGAATTATCTTTTAAGATAAAACTTTCGAGGCTAATTGCAACGCCATGGCTCGTGTTCCCTTGCTGCTAGCTGTGGTCGTGTTGGTGGTGATAGCGTGTCAAAGCCCTGTACAAGGATCATGTAAGTAGAACAGTGCGTGCGTAGAGTTTTTCCAGGGTTTGTTATGGAAGGTGTAGGCCTACAGTCATGTAAATACTTGAAGTTGCAACGGCTGTTTTTTTCGCGGCTCTTCCATTAGCTTTCTCAATCACGCTCTCGCGCACACACATTCATAATTGAGAGAGATAGAGAGAGAGGAGAGAGAAAGAGAGAGAGAGGAGAGAGAGAGAGCGAGAGAGGGGAGAGAGAGAGAGAGGAGAGAGAGAGAGAGCGAGAGAGGGGAGAGAGAGAGCGAGAGAGTTAGAGGGAAGAGAGAGAGAAAGCGAGAGAAAGAGAGAAAACGACAGCGAAATTTCCTTTCTTGATTTCAACGCAGTGGCAGGTAGTAGGAAATTGACAACATTAAATACAATCCGTACATCCATGCTTTCTATTTGATGAAAGTTAACGCAATCCCTAGTAATCCATAGCATGAATTTCATATATTAATTTTTTAAAATTATTAAAATAAGTGCAGATCAAACATCCTTCAAACATCGGTCAGGAAAGACACATCTTATTCACATTAAGTCCCGGGTTGGAAATGATAAGTAACGCCGTGGGAACGTAGCGGACCCGGACCATAGCTCCACACTCATAGCGTCATAACATAACTCTCCGGGAGTTTTTCTAACCATCATTGTTATTCACTTGAAAACTGAAGCATTTTTTTTTTCAATTTTGTGACCGTAGTATCTTTATAAATACTTTTTTTTTTGTAATAGCATTTATGATTGGATTTGAAAATCCCCAGCAAAGTTTATTTATTTATTTATTTATTTATTTATTTATTTATTTATTCCAGCGTTCACGCTCCAGGGGTTGGTAGCCTTGTTAAGGGGAGGAGTAAGGATTGCTGACCAACTCACTGGTATAAATGGACAGGTGAGGGTCTCTCTCTCTCTCTCTCTCTCTCTCTCTCTCTCTCTCTCTCTCTCTCTCTCTCTCTCTCTCTCTCTCTAATAATTTGGTCGATATCTCCCCGTAAGCATGCCCCTTCGGCCCTTCGTACAGTCATGTTTTTTTTATTACTGTAAATAAATTTTCCTTTTAAATCTTTATTTTTTTTTAAATATCTGTTTTATCAAACCGATGTTCACATTCTTAAAAAGGATTATCAATTATTTACATGTACTATTTAGCATTGCTTATTTAATGAAGAGCAATAAAAACCCGGTGCTATCTAACGCAAGTGTAAATTTGTTCCAGGTGGATCGCGGAAATAACTGCGCCATCAACTGGAACGTGAACATCTACCCCGGCTTTAAAGTTCGCTGGATGGGTGTCTGTGTGGACACGTGCACGGGGGTGACCAGCGTCTCCAAGAAAAATTCCAGAAGTGGCGCTCTCGAGCATTGCCTGGAAGATATTTACACGAAGATGGCAAGAAGAGGCCTTCTCACCGGTTAAAGTAATGTAGCGCGTCCGTCGGTCTTTTTCCTGTTCGTAACAGGCGTCCCGAAAACTGAACTATTCATTTTGCAAATATGGCTTCATTTATTTAAAAACTGTATTCTGTTATATGATTATTTGTCTGTTCTGCAAATACGTGCTTTACACATTTTCAAAATAAATAAATAAATAAAATTATTGATATTTTTGACAAAACATTTAGTTGTACATCGTAAAGTGCAGAAACCGGGCAGAGAAGGCCTTGGAATAGGATTGTCCACCCCACACCCACCGGCTGCCATTTTTTTTTTAATTTTTTAAACAATGTTTATTCATAGGAAATGGAGGCAAAGCGCTAAAAGCATTAGATGCTCTCTATGTAGAACAAAATTAACGTACACAACTAAATGCAAACATTAAAGATCAGATTTCAGTATTGGAACACAAAAGTTAGCAGAAATAATTAAATACAGGAAGAAAGTGCCGTGTTAGTGTGGATTTTTTTCTGATCACACAAATTAACTGTAAATGTTTGCATCATCTGATAAATGCAGGGTGTTCTTAAATATTACCCTAAAAACGCCGAGCGGCCAGGCAATAATGTTCGCTCAATCGTTTGCCATCTATTAAAGCGTATGAAAAATAAAAAGTTACCACTGAGATTGGGTTCCCATACCTAGATCGATCTAACAGGATCAGTCCATCTCCTAGGGGTATCTCGCTAAATTGCTTTCAGCTTTAGCGGCTTAAATGTTTGGCCAACTAAAGCTGTTAAACGATAGTTAATTACCCCCTATCAACTTCAGTAGGTGTGACAGACATCTAAGGCGCCTAAATAAAGTGAAATTTAGCAAGAATCCCCTAGGAGATAGATCGATCCAAAGTTAGTACGATATGCTCTGGGAATGGTCCCTAAGATTACTGCCCACCCTGTTAAAACAATGAAAATAAGTGACAAAATAAAGAAAACAACTGCATTTGCGGTCAACTTAATTTCTTTACAAGAATTGCGAAAAATACAGTGGTTCGAATATGACATATTTGGCTCTAAAAATTGAGCCTTAAGAAATTCACAGTAGATACCTGATAGGTTGATACTAATCGTTGTGTGATGACGTCTTTGAGACTGACACAGCTATACAATGGAGTAACCCGTCTGAACCTGCTTTTGAAGTTTAGAACTCCGATACAAACATGAATCAAAAAGGTTTAGGGGATAAAAATTATACTATCAAACAATTTCAATTAGAACATTTTAAGAAAAGGAAAAAAGTTTTGTTCCCATGTGTTCTTTTCCCCTTCCGGTCTACTGTTTCCGGGACCATGGTTCTACACTATATGAAAGATGTCAATCTGTAGACACATAGAGGTTTATTACGTCATCACATTACATGAGCTGTAGTACAGAAATCATGATCAGCACTTGACTTTCAGGGCTTCAAAAATATTTCAAATGTGTCATCACAGTTATATATGCCATAGCCTGTATCTTAGTAAACTGTTATGGCATAACCTTTTGTAAAAATGTTTTAGATACCGTACCGTACCGTAATAAAGATCATTATTGTCAAAATCAGAGTCCAGTTTTTACAACTGAGTTTATTGCACCAAAAGTACAATTCACCACTTTTCATTGCTTATTTCAATCCGTAACCTGAAAGAAATAAAGTGTTGTTCGTCGATTATAAGAATTGAGTAAAATTGTATATTATGAATGTACAGAGATTCAGTATCAGAAGTAACCGCGCGCCATAACGTCATGCCCTCTATATAAGGTCCAAGAGATCTGAAGATAAAAATAAAAATGAGAATTTGAGCCCTAAAAAGAGGTTGAGTTTATATATATATATATATATATATATATATATATATATATATATATATATAATGATACGAAGACTCCATTGTGCGTACCGTCCGATGACGTCAAATCAAATATGACGTCATATGGTGACGTCATATGGTGCCTTTCAGTCCACGATATTCGAGCCATAGGTCGCAATCCAGCATAAACACGTGTCATAGTTTTTCGTTTATCTCTAGAAGCGCAATGATGCAGAAAGTTATCAAAGCGCCAACCGAAGCCCAGCAAACATTGCGGCGCTGATTGCACCACTCACGGGGACCGTGACAATCCAGGCGAAGAAAATGTTCCGGAACAGCTTCCAGTCCACGTTCTCGCGAGACCGGAAACGGCCGACGCCGACGATGGATCCGACCTTGCAGTGGGTGGTACTGATGGGGATGCCGATGTTGGAGGCGACCAGCACGGTCAGCGCTGAGGCTATCTCGATGCAGAAGCCACTGAAGATAAAATAGGTCATTATGAATGTATTACACAAAAGGGTTTTGTTTAAGAGGTTACAGATTTGTTGAGGCTCACGTATTTAGAGAAGAATGCAATCAATTCGTTTTACGCTTAGTTGTTTACATCGTAATTTTTGGATGTGAGACTAACGCCAGGTTAACAAAAGGCGATGACTTCACTTCGTTTGTAATTGTATGTTATCGACACGCCCTACCTAGACGGTGTGATCTTCGTTAAGTCGTCCCCGAGCGTCTTAATAACACGTCTTCCCCATACCCACAACCCCAGTGAGATCCCTAAGCCGCCATAGAACAGGATCCATATCGGTGTCGCCATCTTTTGGTGAACTTCTCCCTCTATACCAATTATCCACAGGGCGACCACTGGTCCTATAGCGTTGCTGAAATAAATAAATAAATAAATAAATAAATAAAGACGGTTGAATAATATCAAACTGATATTTAAGATTATAAAGTACTAAAAATAACCGTAGTCAGGGCTATTTAAACATTTATATTCAGTGCATATTTATTCAGAGGGCCAATATGTTCTTTTAAAACAAATAATTAGATTTATTTAATTTTACCAAATATTTTTGTTTGAAAAATATTTTAGACTTCAATTTTGTATCAAGATAATAAATCAGTTACAGCAGTAATAAACGAAATATTGGGTTCGTTCGTTTACTATTTTAAAACACTAGCAACTCAGTAAAGCCAAGATTACATTTGAAATGTGATGCCCGTACGATGCACGTGTACTGCCCCTAATACCTTTTCGTACGGAGTCTGAGCGGTGGTAGACTGTGGCCGTGCGAAATCGCACGAAATCGTACTGATTTAAGGCCATGTAATATTGGCACACTCGGCGTAGCCCGTAGCTCCTTTCAAAGAAAATCGTACGGACATTTTCATCGCACGGCGCCCGTGTGAATCTAACTTAGACTTAAGTTTTTTAGCAGACAAATCATCATTTATTCTAAACAAATTTTGACCAAGTTTTTGTTCTCTAACTTTTAAATAACATCGAGTCATTTTGTAAAACCAGCCCTATCGCCCGTAGTATAGACTAATCGCTTACCCACCTGACGTCATTTCCGCCATGCGCAAAAGACCCAAACACTGCCGTTAGAATCTGGAGTGCGTAAAACAGCTTTGCGGCTTCCGGTGAATCTTGGATGTTTTCCCGTCCTTCCTCTTTCCTGGCGCTCTCCTGGGAACAGGAATCAGAATCAAACGTTTTAAAGGGTCAGAAAAAGAACATTCTTCAATACATTAGCGTAAAAGGCTTTATTTAGGCCAGTATTTCTAGCGAAAGGCAAAATATTTTTACTTAATTTTGAACCAAGTTAATGTTTGGAACGGCTCATTGCAGGGTGTTACTACTATACTAGTACTAGTAGTGGTGGTGCGAGCAGTAATAGCAGTTAATTACAATATACATGTTGTGGCGTACAGGTGATAGAAGTAATCTATTGAAAATTGACCTGTGTAGTAGTGTTATGAGTTGGGACGAAAGCTTTCCATGTATGCTTTGGATAAAATTGTGCAGAAACTGTACAGTTTTAAATTTCATCATAATGAGTGATAGTAATACAGTATTGTGTAGTAAAATACAGCGTAGAAATGCCAGTCTTAGTCATTCTCTTTACCTTCTCCTCGTCGATACTAAGTTGTTCATACTGCAAGCTCCTTCTGTAGGATTTGTGCGAGTGGACAGACTCATTGTCAACATCTGAAAATAGAAACAACATGAATGTATCTAAATAACCACGTTGTATTATGTACACTTTGCATCAGTGCTATATGAACATGTAAATTTCATAGTGTCTTTACCCTTTGTTTGTAACTGTGTGCACAACATAGCTTTATAAGGCATAAACTTGGTTTATGTAAAGACTGGTACATAACCGGTAGATTTGCCCGTCATCAGCTCTTCACGCACCTTAAAAATCGTTTAAAGAGAGGCAAGATCTTTAAAAGCATACAAGTTGCGTTATTAGCGGTCGTTTTTATTGCAAATATAAAGTTTCTTCAACACTTTTGCAATTTTAACTCTATTCGCTTCGGTAAGCTATATCCAAAAGTGTTCACAGAATTTATAACCAAGTTTTTTAATTCAAAAGTAATCATTTTTACCGTCACGAATTGAGTTACAACCACCATCTATTTCTTACCATTGTAAGAGGATTTCCAAAATTAGAAACTCTTAGCTGAAAAACGGGTTTAGGATGGTTATGTAGTATCAGTTGATGATTTTATCTATAAAAATGTGGACGAGCTGAAATTTCCAGAAAAAAATATTTGCTACTATATAAATTGCTAACACTCATAGTGTCCCTTTATTAAACATGTAGTGTGTACAATAAAAGTGACTGCTGAGGGTGTTCAGGAGAAATACCTTTGTCTTTCTTGAAGTTGAGGCCCAGCAGGGGTTTCACGGAAGGCGAATGTGGCAAAGAGTCCTGTAAACAACATAATCAGATTTTATGGCAAGGACCGGTAACAAAATTTATCATTTATTTCTGTTTGTCTGTTTGTTTATCTTTGTAGTACACCATTAATTAATATCGATATACTGCCTGTTTATTCAGCCATATGGCAATTCACTCACTTATTTACAATGTGTATTTATTTGACTATTTATTTATTTATTTATTTTTGTTCACTACTTGCCTCTCTACTAAAATCATTCCGTTCTCCAGAGTCACTGCTACTGGCGCTTCCAATTCTTTGTTTCAGTTCTACTTCCGTTGCCTGCTTCTCCTTGGTCACCGCTTCCTTATCGTCTTCACTGACCACGGTTTTTGGGTCTGCAATAGTTGGGGAATAAACATAAAAAATTCAGAGTAAGTAATATACTTATGCTCACCGATTGAATGAAACACATCAACTGAATTTGCAGAGGCAAAATTTAGGTAGTGTATAAGTAACAATCTTTCAATCTCGCCGTTGTTGTTAAACATAACATACGAAAACAAAACAAAGCAAACAATTCATCACGATAAAGTAAAATGTCAAACCGTTAGAACAGTCGCTCTCAATCTGATTTTCTTCGTCCTCCGTTTCACCATTCCGTTCTTTCGCGCACTGTGCTGTAAGATTACAAACAATGTTCAAATATCAAATTTCAATACAGACGAAACAATGCATCAAGTCAAATAGCTTCTTCACCATAAATGATTCTTTTTTAACATATTTAGTATAATATAAACTATGATTGTTATTATTATTTATTTAAGTAAGTAATACTGATAACAATAACAATATTTATTATTTTTATTATTCGATGTTTAATTGTCCAAATCTGACCACTCATCGCGTCTGAAATTCAATGTTTGACAAAGGTTTACATCACCACAGTCACAGCTGCTATTCATGCCTGTTAACAACACCAAGCGCCCATAGGAATAACTGGACGCAAGTTTATGATTAGCGCAGTCAACTACAATCAAACCCTTGCTTACTACTCTTTGACTCTCCAGTGTGTAGGGTAGGTTCTAAGGTTCTACTTGCCTATTATCCGTCTCCGTTGCCAAGGGACGAGAAACAGCCAGACCAGGAGAGCGCAGACCAGTCCACCCCCGAACGCTGCCGAGAACGTCCCCCATATCGGGATCAGATGGAAGTAGAGCACTATGGGGGGATAAAGTGATACTTGGGAGTGAATGTGATGATATAAATTAAAGTGATGTTTTGCAAAACATTTACTCTTACTCTGATAAGTCACGATTCAGGCCCTTAGCTAGCAATTTCAAAAGGGGGTTCTTTTTCTGAAAAAGTGGGCCTTTTTACCGTGAAAACTTCGTGTAGCATATTAAACATATTTTATCCAGAGGGGGGCTCATTCGAACCCACCGAACCCCCCTGGCCAAGGACCTGCAATTAGTGGATATATTCTTTATCAATTCTGGTTCACTTTTTTTAGAAAATTTGTCAAAATCTCCATCTGTAACTTACTCTGCGGACCCTCGTAGAACACGGAGAACAGGTTGATGGTGAGGGTGGCGCCGTAGAAAAGGGGAAGAAATCGCATCCCCCATAACAGCGGGTCTGGCTGGAAAACGACCAAAATGTATGTCACAATCCTCGCCACGTGAAATATTAGTCATCAATACGACTTCAAATATACATGAAATACTTACATCTTATGCCACATCCCTATATGAAAGATTGTATGTATGAGATACATGTTAGTCGTTGAGGAATTGAAGTCAGTCTTTTACTCCTTGAAGAGCTTGTTCTGTTGACTAAAAACAGCGGTCAAAGGAAAATATTACCATGCGTGGCCAAAGCGGTTTATACCGAAAAGTCGTTCCCTATGCCACATCAGGCTACAATTTACTTACAAATCAAGACGACCGGGCCCCGTAACTCGAAAGCATAGCGTATTGCGAATAGGGATATCACATAGAGGCTACAATGTATTACATTGTATATGGGGCGAGTATGGGCGAGTTATGGAATCGAGACGCTTGCGGTAGGTCGCAATGCGCGATGCTTTCGAGTTACGAAGCCCAAATGAAAGCGTTTTTTACGTTATTCTATCCAGAATTAAAGCTACGAGAGTTAAGGTTCGGTTTTCTAATTCTGTTAAGTCCACATTTGCTTTAAGAACACCTACAGGTACAATCTTATCCTTGGTTGTGGGTCGCTCATACATGTAAGTTTATCAAAAGTCGCTGTATTCATCTGTTTGCCCCACTATTTCTATGGAAAGCTAAAATTGGACATATACTGTATACTAACCTTGGACAGTATGAAGTAATAGACGAAGAAGAACACTCCCACTGACACCAGGCCCGACAATATGGGGGACACAAACCAAGAGGCGACTGAAGATCACAACATGTAAAATAACGAAAAACAAATAAAATTTATTTGTTTGAACTTCTTATTTCAAGTAAAAACAAAAAACGCATGCAAACGCGTGCACGTACATGCATGTTATGAAATCATTCAATAGTTTAAAAACACTAATTTGCGTTGAATCCTACAAATTTCTCAACGAAAACCTTCGCAAGGAAAATAAGAAAACGGGTACCGTACTTATCATTCCAATTTTCTTCCAGTTGACTCCCGCGGCGCCGTGCGCCACAAGGGCGAACCCCATAGTAGCCCCCACAATGCTGTGCGTACCGGAAACTGGCATACTAAAGAACGTTGCCACTAGCAACCAAATACAGGAACCTGGAACGAGAAAAAATGGTTTTATGACCATGATGTGATACTGTGAAATAATTGTCATTATCCATGGGCTGATAATAAGCAGGGAATTCAAACATCTTGCCTTCAAACGTTAATTGTTCAAAAATTATCTGCAGTTTTTCTTTGCCTTTTGTTATTTTTGAAGCAATTATAGGATCACCTCTTTCCTAATTAAGTGAAAAATTTTATTTTACCCAAACTTATCAAACTGTTTGGCCGTCTTCCTCAGTGAAATATTAGTGTGAAATATGCGCCCATGACTACATGTATATACCGGTGTGTACGGCTAGTAGGTTTTTTAACTTGCTCAAATCCTGTTCTCAACTTTAAATCCCAAATTGGATCTCTGAAAGATTTATCTGTATTAATCCGCATTGTAAACGTTTTACTCTGAAACATTAGCCTTGCGTTTCTGGAGGTGCAAAATATTTAATAAGACCACAGGGGCTGATTTATTTGTTTATTGATTTATTGATCAATTTTATTGATTATTGATTATTGTTTATTGATTTATTGATTTATTTTGTACCAATGTGAACTGCAGTGTTTGTTTCGACTATTATTAGGACCAATTTTTTTATTCTTGCTTGAATTTTCTTTTTCTTTTTCTTTTAATGTAAAGCCTCACGTGACTTGGCGACCGCCTCTGTAACATTCCAGTTAACATATTACCTGTCTCTTCTCACGTAGACAGATATCTGTCATTTCGTGAAAGCCGCTTTCTGCTTGGGGTTTTGATTGAAAGGTGAGCATTTTATCACCGTGTTATTACCATTGTTTTGGCATCATAATCACGCGTGATTTCACGAGAAAATGACAAATTGCTATAATTACATGACAGCAATATCGCTTGTATGGGAGGAAGTGTCGTGAAGCGTTGTCACCAGTGAAGCACGCAAAGACATGGAGTGAAATTGTCATCGTCTCCAGGAAAATTATCATAAAAAAGGAAGAGAAAAGAAAAAGAAATACAAAAATGTGCTCCGTCTCTACACATGAGGGGCATTTATCGGCTGTCATGTACACGCCACTGTCTTCAGAAAACAGGTATGACGGCGGCAACTTTTTTGCGTGGGAGCCAACGATGACAACAAGAGACTCGTCACTTTGAGACTTGTTGCCGCTGGTTTTAAAATTGCGCCGGAGATTTAAGTGGAAAGAGCAGTTACTCTGTCCCCTCACTTGGTCACTGACTGATTGGACCACTGGCGGGAAGAACTCTCGACCACAGGCTCAGAAAGTGACTGACCCAGCTTATTCTGATATATAATGGTCAGTCGTTGTCCATGGCAGTGGTCAAGCGGAAGATCTAAGCTGCATTCAGACGGGATCGAGTATCAAGAATCTAGGAAACGTAGACCGTTCCCCATTACTTTGCACAGGTGACATTCGTCCCAAAAATCAACCCAAATCCCCCAACTAACCCTAACTGCACTAATTATATGGGAGCCAAAACTTCCATTCCTAAGACTACAATTCCTGTCACACTGGGGTATTTTGATGAGAACTCAGCTTTTGGCTACTGCGTCTTCGGTCTACCCAACTGAAATTCTGTATAATGGCAATGCCACTTAATTTGATAGGTCCCTTTTAAATTTGGAGAGGTACTTCTGCAGTAAACATTGCTTGAAATGAGAGAACGGGATGTGAAGAGAGCACGGATCTTAGTACAGAACATGAAACTGATGAACATTTGAGCACGCCCAAATGAGCGTGTGTGTGTGTGTGTGTGTGTGTGTGTGTGTGATAGGGGGAGGGGGGGAGGTAACGTCAATGCACTCCATTATTTGCATGAACCTCCTAAGACGCCTAGCAATACACGTAAGTCTCTAGACCTCCAATGTGTCTGTCTAAAATTGGCCTTCTTCTTTAGAGACTCAACAATCTAGCTTTCTCTCACAGATTGGCTCTGTAGTGGAAAGTACAAGGCGAGAACTTTCTCACAGCATATCCATTATTGTAGGCAGATCGTTTGTCATGATCACAAGCTAAGGCGTCTCTGGTTGAAGACCGCCTTAAAGCGTCACCTGATGGATGATAGTTAAGGTGAGCCACGGCGTTCAGCCAAGGTTACGACATCAGACCATGGGAGGATTGTATCTGATGGAAACATGACTGAAACAACAAACAAACAAACACACACACAAACAAACAAACAAACAAACACAAACATACTCAAATACCAACACCCATTGGTATTGGTCACATTTTCAGTCAGCTCAATTTGTCATATTCGCAGTTATAAAATCTATCAACAATACGAACGTCTTCGTCACGCGATCTGTTACGCATATTTCGCAATCTTCTAGAATATATCTCCACGTGTCTTACGCAACATTTATGTCGTCCTGTCTGTATAACTTCACCCATTTTTTGGTTATCTAAGCATTCCTTTTACTTAATTCTTATACACTTTTCTATATCTTGCCATCAATTTCAGTCGTTGTGCGACCTTCAGTGCCATTTTTACTGTGGTACTTATTAGTCTCTTCTGAGGCGATCTCGACAGTTTGACATTCAACCAAGGACCTTTTTTTTCAAAAAATAAAAATTAGCCTAAACACTTGTGTCAATTTTCAAAAATTGTCTTAAAAGACAGGAATTATAATAAATCTTGACCCAAGATAAATGAGCTTTACTATTCCAATTTAATGGAAAATTGCCACCGTTAATAACTGGACTAGAACGTCTAATACTTACCAAAGTTATTCTATTCTATTTTATTCTATTCTATTCAATCCTGGGCTACACTGTTCGACGGATTTCTTCTTGCCTAACGTAGAAAAATGTTTGGGCTAAATGTAATGACCTATTACGGTGTAAAATTCTTTGATGGCTCCGGCTCTGTGTGCCTAGCACCCCCCCCCCCCCCCCCAGAGGTCATATGTCCAGGCACCAAGTCGTAAAGTTGCGTTCTCAAAGTTTTCCACTACGGTGTTTTAAACTGAATAAACCCTGTTTTATTCACCCCAGAGTTGTCTAGTTGAAGTGTAGCATGGCCGTGTCATACCTCGAGAGTTCTTGGACAGTTTAATACTAAGGTACCATCTGGTCAATCACATGACTTTTAAACGGCAAACCAAATTCATCCAAATACGAAACCAAGAGAGATTTAAGAAAACGAAGATTTTTACACAATGTGCATTTGAAAAAGTACAGAAATGAAAAATCAATCAAACAGCAAGAGAGAAAATTAATCGCACGTCATGTGCATTCTGAAGAAACCTTTGCTCGTGACTCGCGCAATTTTAGAGCCTGATCATTACATTTAGCCCTGATCCATTTATATAGCACATGTCACTCTTATTTATGTCACCTGTCACGAAAGAAGGCGAGGAAGGCATTCGCATATATATATATATATATATATATATATATATATATATATATATATATATATAGTGTGATTATCTGTCTGAAATAATGGTAAATTTAGAAACTGGTGTGATGTGTGAGATGACATTGGATCGAGCTTTGCGTCGTTTCTATATGATGCAATTCTCTCTCTCTCTCTCTCTCTCTCTCTCTCTCTCTGTGTGTTGTGTGTGTGTGTGTGTGTGTGTGCGCGTGCACGTGTGCTACTCTGACAAAATTTGAACATCCAGAATTTGTCACAAAAGGTGACGTTTTTTTTTTTAATTGTCTCTTTGCTTCTTTTGAAATAAATAAAATAAAAAAGTAAACGGTGCCCGAGATTTCGGCTTCTGTGTCTTCTCCAGGGTCCAAAATGGAGAATTGCTTATTTTGCGCACGACTTTGTTGTGAATTATGAGTTCAAATACCACTCCACGTGCCGCGGACAATTACAAGTTCTACAGTGTCCGTATTAAAACTGAGTGAGAGAGTTTGTTCAGGCACCAGGTGCAACTGTAAGATGAAGGCTGACGGATATTTTTTTAAACAATGGAACAGTCACAGATCTTAAAATTTCAACAAAGAACACCTTCTGAAAGCTAACCACAATTCGTGTCGCGAATCTATGTACATGAATTAGCCACCTTGCAAAATATTGTTTTATCTGTTAATTTTGCACTTGAAATGGAAATTCAGACGGCAGAGAACGAGAACAACGTGAATGAACTTTGCCTTATGGGAGAAATATGTCGGGAGTCCATGAGTATTTTTGGTAATTTCACGTAACGTCTTTGTTTACGGTTTGTAATTCTTCATAATACGCTGTGTGAAGTCTAAAGAGTTAAAGTTGTCTTGTTTGTTGATCTGATTAAGAAGTAAAGTTCAAGAACCCCTTGTCTTGGTTTAAGATTAAAGAATCGGATTCCCCACAGATCGTCAGAATATATAGTATAGCTGAACCAGCAGCGAGTCATTGAATGATTGAAACTGGTTATTGTTTTCAGCGTTGGATTTTCTCATAGCGATTTACACGTAAATATTTTCACCATGGATCGGGAAAGTAGTATTAACGCGCTATCTAACCTAAAAGTGTCCGCATTTCGCGCCTGTAATTCTTATAATTTACCAACTTTGCTCGGTTCCGGTGTGACAGGAATGGTAGTCCTAGGAATGGAAGTCCGGGGTCCCATGTGATGAGTATAGGTTAGGGTTAGTCGGAGTATTGGGGTTACATGTAGTGTAAACGGAAAATCTTTAAACCCAGTGGAATGTGGTGTGTGTGTGTGTGTGTGTATGTGTGTGTGTGTGTGTGTGTGTGTGTGTATGTGTGTGTGTGTGCTCGTGTATGTGTGCTTATGTGTGTGTGTGTGTGCGTATATGTGCGCGTGTATGTGCAGGCCCGTAGCCAGCAATTTTAAAAGGGGGGTTCTTTTTCTGAAAAAGTGGACCTTTTTCCATAAAAACTTCATGAACCTAGATCAAATGTTACCCAGAGTGGACCTTTTCCCAGCAAAAGGGGCGGTTCTTTCGAACCCCCCGAACCCCCCCTGGCTACAGGCCTAATGTGTGTGTGCTTATGTGTGTGTGCGTGTGTGTATATTCGTTTGTTCAAATTTGCAAAAAAATAAAAAAATGAAAGTTGATCATAATCTTTTAGACGGACAAACACACATTTAGAGCTTTCTTTAGGAACAACAAGTATAATATATTAACCTTAATTTCTCAAGTAAAAGGCGGGGGCACCTCCAAGAAATGTTATTGCCATTAACAAGAGACAGAAACGCGCAAGCACCTGCCTCGGGTCAGAAAACACTCTGATTTATTCTTATTTCAGCCATCATTAGTTCTCTCAGGTGGGCAGTGATCTAACGCCTGATAACAGCCAACAGTCAGCGGTTGACGGGGTCCTGGCCGATAAGATAAACTTTGCCTCTCAAAGGTCAGCTTGGGTGGGCTTATCGCCCGACATCACGGCAGGATGCTGCTGTACAGACTTATAACCAGAAACAAAACGTCTTTGGTCCCAGGACAAAAATAGTTCAAGCCAAGAAAAGCAATTTATTAATCGACATACATGTACATATAAGGCAATTAGCTTTCACAGAAAGTCGTATATCAAACTGTAAGATCCAGCACGTTCTGCTGTTTCATGGTACGACTGGTTCTTGGCATCAGCCTTTCCAAACCCACTTTTTCTATTTATTTATTTGATTATTTATTTATTTTAAACATATAAGACACAAGTGCTATATTTAGGCATTTATCGCATAGTTCCTTGAAACTGAAATTGAGCATTGTTACCGATACAATGTACCCGAGTTACTAAAAAAATACTGAAATAACGACCTTTTAACTATTTTGGTTTAATCAGATGTTACAAAAAATCGTCTTAACATAACCCTGGAAGATTAACTAACGACAAGATAAGGCGTCACCCGCTTCACACTATAACCACAGGGGCGGATTTAGGCCGTCTTCTGGGTCTTCTGGAAGACGGTCAGATTTTTAACTTAACATTGACGGGTATCTAATTTTTTCTGTCGGAAGACGGTCAAAAATGGAGGATTGATCAACGAAGATAATTTGGAAGACTGTCAGAAAATATCTCTGGATCCGCCCCTGAACCCTGCCAAGATTTGGATACAGTGCCTTCGAATATTTGACTAAAGTAAAGCGGAGTTTGACGTACGATATAAATGAAAAACTTTAAAATTAATATCCAATTCAGGGTGACTAAAACGCCAGAAGTAGTAGATATTTTGAGACTGTAATGGCCGGGCCTTAATTGTCATAAACCATTTTATCACGATAATTATTAACACTCGTTAATAGTGGTTAAAGTAAACTGCAACAACACGATGGAAAAAAGAATTGAAGAACATCATTTCTTCTCGTCGGTAAAAACACTTTATGTACCGGTACACCAGTTTTCTTGCTCTGTTTTGTTTAGACGAGCTTTAGCTCCAAGGCATAGTAACTCTGAAATGAACCGTTTCCACAAGTGTGGTGAGATCCCGCCATTACATTTCACTTGTGTGTCAGAGAGAGAGAGAGAGAGAGAGAGAGAGAGATAAAAAGTATATAAATAATCTTTTTGGTAACTTTCCTAACCCTAATTCCTAATTTTCCTAAGAGAGTATGATAAATAGTAAACCAATAAGTCTTTTTGGTAATTTCCTTGCCCTAAATTCCTAATTTTCCCAAGCGAGAACGATAAATAGTAAATAAATAAATAATCATTTTGGTAATTTTCCTAACCCGACTCTCTGACCTGAAGCGACCGTGCCTCACCTCACTTTTTCTTGTCAACTTCAACACTTTTAATCAGCCCGCCAAAAAAGTCACAAACGCTCTTAATTCAAGATCGTGACAGATTTACTGCAGTTTGCCTTTAAGTGTCTTGACAAACGCGGCAGGATCTGGTGACAAATCTCCTATGTCCGTTACTGTACTATGTACACGGCATTTCCCTTATTGTTACAGGCACACAGCGAGCCTTAGAAATTTATCTTGCAAAACTTCTGGATATTTTACAAAAACCTCTTAGCCATTGAGGTATCCCATATCCAAATCTGATCACAGAATTACGACCCACAAATCTGTGTTTTTTAGTTACGAGTTTGTTGTTATTGAGTCATCTTCACGTGGGATGCAAAGGATGGTAGATTTCAATTGTGGTGGTAAACATTAAAGGTTTCTCGTCAGATTGTAGGAACGGCCTGAACGGAGCATATTCTTCAGAAAACATGCCCAACTAACGATATCTTTAATCAAATACACAAATTCATTTTGTGAATTTTGGGCCTTGAAATACGTCCTTTTTGCTCGGCCTGGGAGTTAAAGAGCTACGTGGTCACGTGGTCCGATGACGACAATCGTGCCACCTGAGTCTCTTCCCCAAGCAGCGTGTTTAGCTGTCAAGCTGACCTGTATTGTCTACCTGTAAGATGATTTTTCTGACTCCTGATAAAAGTTCATACTCATTCAAATCTCTTACCCGAGGGGTCTAAATGCTCGTAAAGCCGTGTGAAGCCATTTTCCCGTCTATTCAATTATTTAACTAGCATTTAATTATGGTTATACCCACTTGTATAAAATACTGCATACGAATGACTTGCGGGCACTTTTGATCATTCGATATGAGGTCCATGTTATTTGTGAAATTCAATTCAATTCAATTGCGCCTTACGGCTCATCAGAATGAAATGCAATAAAAATATAAAGTCATAAAAACAACAACAATACAACTACTACTAGTAATGATAAAAATTCATCAGACTGACGTTAATCTTAGCTCCGATGCACATTTTAAGTACTTTCATAACTTGTTTTATTGTGAAACATTGTTAAGTGATAACAATTTAATTAGTTTGAAAACACTTTGCTTTGTGTAATAATTTTTTTGATGTATTATTGCCTGATTGTTCTGTAGCAAAGACATTTTTAAATTCTTAAAGGAATAAAATGAAATTCATCCTCGATGACATCTAAAATACATAGTTTACAGGTTCTTAATTTTTATTTGTGTCCGTTTACCTTTCAGTTTCTACAGCTAGATAATGTGATGGAGGTCTAAATTTGGCAATTAATTCCTTGCATTTCAGTGAAATCGGCTTATTTAAATAGAATTGCACTGTAAAATTATCAACAAGATGTTGGTACAATAGCCCTTTACTTCTTGTGGACATTTCTCCAGTCAATGTTTGTCTAAAATTATCTTTCACCTTGGACAAAATATCGAGTAATGCCTGGGCATACGCATGCCGCGGTGCGTAGTCAACTACCATGCATTTAAAATGCATCAGCACTTAGTAAGCTTGTCAACTGATGACAATTAAATTGAAGGACTATCACCTTTTGATATGATCTAAACCACCTGAGGCGACCATAGTCTCGAGCATCACATCTATTGTCACCAAAGTTAGTAAATAAGTCAAGGAAGACCGTCACAGATAAAGAAAGAAGATTGTCACGAGTGCTGCTTTTTTTTATGAATCCCAAGGCAACACACTGAGGCATAAGGAAAATTGCCCAACCCCGTTCAACACAACTTTCCTAAACTTCTGTCTGTATTCAGCATGCACCTCAGCTGAGTCCCAAAACCTTTATCTTCTTTGTCGTCAAAGTACAGTACCACGTGACCCAGATCTGTTGCTTCATTTTTGCATAGTGAGGTGAGGTTTATTAAAACGCTTTTTTTTCACCAATAGATTGTTTTTATACTTTTTAAAAGGTGGGGATCGATTAAAACATATATCTAGTGTATGAATTGAGTGCTGATTCGTCCAAATTCGAGAAATGGAGTTTAACGTGTCTAGAATCCTTTAAATATTTCGAAATTTAGAACAGGTTCACAGGTTTTCATTTTTGCATCGGCTTTCCATAGGAGATATTTTGGTAGAGGGAAAGTTTTGTGCAGGAAACAAAACGGCAGTAAACAAGAACCTTACCTGACAATGCACACACGTTGCCTAGCATTAGGAGGTCTTCAGTACCGTTATACGGCATAACGTCAATGATACCTTTTCGAATCGTGTCCGATACTTTTGACCCTGCGGAGACAAATATGTAAACACATAAATAAGTCAACATATAATAACAGTTTTAACTGTTAAAATAGATAAACATATATGCACAGAAGTAAATACATAAATAAAAAAAATGTGTACAATTTTAAACTAAAATTTTAATGTGTAAAAAGAATAAAAAGTTTTACATTTGATATTTTTACATATCTACGTGATATTTTACACATTTAAGACTGGTTTTAAAAACACATTAAGTTCAATCTCGAAAGATATGGATATCGTGGTCGTTTAAAATATGCAGCAGAAGATCGTCAATTTCTACCATTATGACATTGAATTTTGACACAAAATTTGGGTTCGCTTTTAAAAGACCATTTCCAATTCAGCCGAGTAATGTTTGTGTTTTTGCTATTATTTATCACGTGTCTGTGTTACGGTTTGTATTCTGTCGAGCATAAATAATGATAAATAATGTGTACAAGTTACAAATCAGCACTTGTAAATCACTTCCTTCTTTTTACAACGGCCTTTTTATTTTTTGTTATTCACCTTCGTGATACATTCCTTGGTGTCTTCAAAAGTTGTCTGATAGAAGAATAGACTCCCATAGTCAAGAACAAGACAGATACACACAAGGTCATTAACTATGGCACGTTTTTTTTATCATGCAAACATTAAATTGCATATTCTACATGGACATGCACTCACGCGCCTTCACGCCCACATACACATGCACGCAGATAGTAACGCGTGCGTGCGTGCATCATCACACACACATATGTACGCCAATCTCCATGCACTCGCACTCATTCACACACGCACACACACACACACACACACACACACACACAGTTGTATATATACATGTATATACACGAATAAGCACACACACGACAAATGCGAAATCAGCCAAACGCATGTTAAGTGCCCTTACAGTCCATGGCGATCGTTGAAAGAA